TATATATATATATATGATGAAAGTTAAAGAAGGGGGTTTAAGAATCGAGTACTTACGATGTTCGATAACTCGGTTAAGTTAATGATTTAATTAGCTTGCCTTTCGATCGATCGTTCTATGGAACGAAAAAAAAAGAAAGAGAAAGAGAAAAATATTTATCTTCGTTCCTTTCATCTCTTTTTTCTCTTTCTCTTTCTCTTTCTCTTTCTCTTTCTGTTGAACTAAATAATTATCAGAAATCGTCGATGCAATAAAAATTATCGTCAGCCGTGAATTAAAGCGTTCCGAAGCGTTTCCAGAGTGGAAGCCACTTAATGAACGATTAACGCCCAAGCTTATGCAACTGAAATTAATTATCTGTCGATAAAGTTCTCTTTATTCCATCTCTCTTTCTCTTATAGATTAAAAAAAAAGAGAAAAAAGATGGGGAGGAGGAAGAGTTCGGTGAAAAGAAATTGCACTTCGTTCGAGAATCGTATTTGTGTGTGTTGGTAACGATGACGATGTTGTTGTTAATAGTGGTATTAGTGATGGTGAAGGTGATAGTGGGGTTAGGGGGTAGGAATAAAATTTAAGAGGTGGGGGAACGTATTAATGATCGCGATAAACCGCGTGGCAGAAAACACGCGAGGTTACAGATTGCGGATTATTTTAGGGGCGGCGTGTTAAATAGCCAGTCGCGAATCGCATATTTGCAAACTTGGATACACTTAGTATATTTACTTACTTGTCATTTTCTTCGAGATTATTTTAGATGACGATGTTTTGCACACATTTTTTTTTTACATTCTCTTAATTGAATTTATTTTGGTAGATATACACTGTTACTGTTACATATCTGTAATTTTTAAATTTTGTATAGACATACAACATCTTTTTACATTTACAGGGTGTTAAGTAATATTTACGACCAATTTTAAGTATAGAGACATAAAACCAATGAAAACAATTTATATTGCATTAAAATTGTATCTATTTGCATGACACAGAGCAACAATGTTTATAAATGCAAATCAAAAACGAGCATTTTGATGTACACTTTTTATGAACATAAACTATCGTGAATTATTGGAATACAAAAGTAATTATAGTTTTGAAACAAATAGGACGCATGTTTCTATGAATTTTTTAAATGAAGTTGCTCCCACATATTTAAAAAATATACATGTATATATATAAACATATTAATTTTTATTTTTAATTATTTCCTATTATTTTATTAATCCTTTTCTATTTCTAAGCTTTCAACGAGTATATTCAATTATTCATGCTAGCAAGGATATTAATAATCCGTCGACGGAACGATTTGTTTTTCCCACTTGTGAGAAAAAATTTAATGAAAAATTCGGCTAAATAATTTTCCCTTTAACAAATGAACAGTTAACATTCGTGAGAAATACCTTTTCTCTTATATACTCATTTACTTACGTATACTTCTCGTACTTCGTTCGTGTATTTAGGTACTTTCTTATATGAGTATATATTTATATTCTTTTACTATCTTAACGAGCGAATAACGTTTCGCAACTGCGGTGAATTTAATGGCGAAAATCAACATACATTTATCTTATTTACAAAGATTAACTTTATTAATTATTAATTGAAAATAACCGATAGGATAACTCGCGCGGTTATTAGTTATCTTTTTAGCGGACTACTATCGTATATGATTCTGATAAATGAATATTTACTTTCATTTTATTTTTATTATTTTTCACGTAACCATTCGAAAGTGATCTTTCTCGTTATCGTGTATTTTTTAAAAATATTTCTCTTTTTTTTTTTTTTGAATGAAAACTTTCGCAATCGTTGACGATAATGTAAAACATGCGAATACGTATTAATCCTTGTGATATTAACACAAGTTACGCTTGTCTTGCAGATTGATTATTAGCGAATTTTTTATTTAACAGTTTATAATTCATATATTTCAAAAGAAGTTATCATTTAAATGTTTTTGAATTGTAAAATGATCTGAATAAATGTTATATATTATTGAATAATTATTACTATGACCTATGATCTATGCTAATAATTTAAT